CTTTGCCCTCCACTGTGAGTCAAGGAAGGACCTCCCCCCTAGATTGGGCCCAGGGAGGGGGGGAGGGAGGGAGAAAGTGTGACTTGCCCAACATCACTCAGGGGGTCCCCATAGCTGGGCAAAAGGGGGTTCAAACCCTGGTCTCCAGAGTCTAACTGCAAAGTTCAAACTAGTACATTGTGTGTTGGGCTAGCCAGATGATTTTTTTTAAAAAAGTATTAATTTTAAGGTATTTATTGATGGATTTTAAATCCATTTTAACAGATTTAACATTGTTGGATTTTAACATGGTTGTTGATGTGTGTCCTCAAGTCGTTTCTGACTTATGGCAACTCTAAAGTTAACCTACCATGGAGTTTTCTTGGCAAGATTTGTTCAGAGGGGTTTGGCCATTGCTACCCTCTGAGACTAACAAAGTGTGACTTGCTGAAGGTCACCCAGGGGGTCCCTATGGCTGGGCAAAAGGAGAATTCAAATCCTGGTCTCCAGATTCTTCTTATTCCAAAGCTCAAACGAGTATATCCAGATATATCCAGATGATTTTTAAAGTATTAATTTTAAGGTATTCATTGATGGGTTTTAATATTATTGTTGTCATGTGCCCTGAAGTCGTTTCTAACTTATGGTGATTCTAAGATGAACCTATCCTGGGGTTTTCTTCTCAAGATTTGTTCAGAGGAGGTTTGTTATGGCCTTCTGCTGAGGAAGCTGAAAGCGTGTAAGGTCACCCAATAGTCAGGGAATTGAACCCTGGTCTCCGGAATTCTAGTCCAACACACAAACCACACCAAGCTACATTTCAATGTTGTGTCCAGAAATAATGTCACAATCTTCTCCATTTTAAGCATGACTGAGAAGCATGAAATTTTATATATGACAAGATCCCTGATGCAATCTGCCCTCTTAGAGACCACTTACATGGAGGCGAGGACATCAGCTTTCTGAATGACAGGAGATCATACCCCCCCCCCATTGATCTCAGTATCTGCTGCCCAGTAGGTAGGGGCTGGGGGATTTTCATGGTCCTTATGTATCCCCTTCATGAATCCAAAGCAATCACAAATGCATAACTTTCAATTACACATTCATAACTACCCAATAGGATTCCAGCCAATATGTTTTAATGATGCAATGCTTAATATTATTTTTGGGCCAAGGTTATGTATTTTGATATGGGCTTGGATACCTCAAAGGTATAACTTGGGGGTGTATACCAAAAAATATAAAGCATGAAGCAAAGGAAGATGATGCTGAAAAACTTACAAATTTCTGGTAGGTATAATTGTTTGTGCTCAACCTAAAGGCTGGATGGATGAGGAGAGAACTATGGTAAATGAGGGGAGAACTATGCGAGGGAGGTGACCAGACACAGGTAGGGTAGGTTTCACGGCCAAGTGGGAAGCCAGAGTTCAAATCCCAACTCAGCCATATAAAGTTTCTAGATGACCTTGGGCAGGTCACCTGCTCACAGCTATATTTAAAAAAAAACATTGTCCATAGACTAGGTATGCTGGGAGCTTCAGTCCAATGTTTGCAGAGGTGACTTTGCCTACTCCAATCAACTCTTTCTCTCTATGTTCAGAGGCAAGAGAATGTATGAGTATTTGAGCCAGTAGGCCATGAAACCCATTGGATGACCTTGGGCCAGCCAAATGCTCTCAACCTCAGGGGAAGGCAATGGCCAACCACAAATCTTGCTAGGAAAACCCATGATGAGTGGGAAAACAAAGAATAGAGAGAGAGGGAGAGGGAGAGAGAAAGAGAGAGTTAATTGGGGCAGGCAAAGCTTCTTGGCATGAGATGTATTTCCAAGATCTTTAATGTAGTTCTTACAGCAGAGTTTATCTAGGAGAGTGTGATAATTCAGAGTGAATTAGAAATGAATTTTTTTTTTTTTTTAGGAATATGGTTCAAAAGTTGGCAGATTTTCTTTTCTTAAGTATACCCTCATGAAAATTCCACTTCATTATAAAATTATAAAGTGTTACTGTTAAAAAGAATTGAACTGGATGGACCTTTGGGTTTCCTTCCTCATGAAGGGGCACAACACAACACTGATAACTTGAGAAAGGAAGTCACCTTGAGAAAGGAAGGAGATAAATAAAATAAAATAAATTGTAGCTTTAACTTAAAAAAATGTTTTCTGTAGATGCCCAAAACACAATCAGGGCAGCATTTCTAGGTCCTCAGCATAAGAAAGCAATGGGAAATTGCCAATGTAAGCATCTGAAAAGATCTTCTAGTAACACCAAGTTTGAATGTGTGCTTTGATTACTTGAAATGCGCAGTCCTGCCCATCAGGTCTCAGCCCTTCACTTCATTTGCAAATGATTAAAACACAATCTTCCTCTTTGGTCAAGGAGGTACAAGAGTTACTGCTTTTTAAAGAGCTTATGGAAGCATCAAGTAAGAAATATCTTGTATGTTGAACAAATAGTAATGAGATTTCTTTACATCACTACCTGCAAGTCCCCCTGTCATCAACAACCCTACTCAGGTGGTTCAAATTCAAGGCCTTTGCTTCCCTGTAGTATAGCCTTCCTCTTTTCCTACTGCTTCCCAATTTACCAAACATGAGTCATGTCATCTCATGATATAGAGAAAATACAATAGTCTTCATTTTGGCTTCTAAGGAGAGTTCAGGCTTGATTTCTTGTCTCTGTTTGTATCCTTTGAAGTCATCTGTCAGTTCATATGAACATGAATTTCATAGGATTTCCTTAGGCAAGGAATTGATCTAGGACCCTTTTTAAAAAATAATTTTGGTGGTCCATTGTATCCACAAAACTCCTCCAGTACCACATTTCAAATGAGTTTTCTTTCTTTCATCTTTCTTCACTATCCAAATTTCACACCCATACAGACAAAATGAAAATATATTGACATGGATGATCCTGACTTTGGTATCCACCTTAGATTACAGATTATTGTCAAAAAGGATCACTTTCCCCCTTTGCATACCAGGATTAAACTTCCAAAAAATTGTATTATCTGTAGGGCAATGATCCAAATACCTTTTGAGCATTCTTTCCATGGATTTGCAACTGTTACATGGATTTGTAATTGGTTGACTGGCCGA